AATATTTCTTTTAATGTTTAGTATAATTTCAAGTAACTCATTTTATTTTGAGATTTAATATGAAATTATTTATTTCAAATAGCGGACTTTAAGACACTTATCATTAGCAGAAGTCAGAAGTCAACTGCCGGTTTATAGACTTTTTTGTCGTATGAGTATACGTTGCCCGGGGTGCACCACGTGGAGGTAAGTCTATCGCACCCCTAATATACAGTTATAGTATTAGCTAGTGATGAGTCATTTCGCCAGTATTAGTTAGTTGTTCTTAACTGTTAGAAAACAACAATTTCGAGAGGTTGCATGACTTCCCGCTAATTTCAATCAATTAGTCAGCGAGCGCCTTCACTAAAACCCGATAATAAACCGAAATTTTTAATTTTAAACATTGTAAAGAAAGCAGTGTACTTCAGCAATGGAAGTGAGTCACTTGCGATACCAAGACTTTACGCATAGCTCTGATAGAACCAAACATTTCCCTTACCCCTCCCCCCCATCCCCATCCTATATATTGAGATTTATTATTATTATTTATTATTTATTTTTCCAGCATCTAAAAAGGGGGAAAAGCGCCTAAATTGAAAATAATAATCACCTGCTAAATTAAAATACGCTTTAAAGTCACCGGTTGAGTGAATAATCAGAGCCAGCAAAAAGTGGAATTTTGATAAAAGAAATTGCGGCTTGCATAACTTAAATCAAATCTAACCTGAACCCTTATGAAGGTTCTTCCTGTCTAGGGCAGAGAAGTGTGTATGTGTGTGGGAATTTAAAGCTTTAAGAGAAGCATGTGATAACATAGATCAAAGCAGTTAAGTTGGAGATATATTTCAGCTTAGCCAAAGCTCTTCCTTTAATTGGTGTCACTTTTAATTACCGCTGTGTCTAAAATACTCAATGTTTACGTCTTCAAGTTACTGTGTTGTTTAGCAACTGGTTTCGAAAGAAACCAGGGTCAAAATAAATTGTCCTAGAAGTCTATAATATTCTGCGGTGGTATTGTTGATTTTATACTAAAAAGGAACTGATGAATCGAGATGTGGATGAGGGATGGCACGAGAGTGAATCATCAAGAGTACCACAAATTATTCAAAGTTTATCAGATCAGATCTTGGAGATCAAACGGAACCAAATATGCACGCGTGAACAATTTGCTTAAAATTCAGTTGTGCCTTCAATCCCGTAGAGGCTTCAGTTTTTGAGTTTCCTGACCAACCATGGGTTCAAGTTTTCCACTACGCTCATTTGGAGGAAGCGTATTCAATCAGATTTTTTAAGGACTATCGGGTGGTACTGTGATTTATCAAGGCATTATTAATTGCAATTACTTAACAAATGTGCTTTCCTTCTGTAAACGTTGATGGTTTAGTGATGTAAGTTCAAATGCTTATAAAATGGCAATTCCAATTGAAGTTCACATTGCGAAACCACCTCGCCTTTGTATGAATTTTATTACAAGTTCTTTATTTGTACGCATAGCATATCTTTGGTCGAAATGTACTCAGCATAGTGAAAACCACTGTCAACATTATAACTGGATTTGTGATTTACCAGATATGTACGGTGCCAATTCAGAGCAAAATAGGCATATGAAATGGAAGATTTTCACGTCATCCTTTCATTTTCCCCAGTGGTCTGTAAAAGAAAGCAATGAAACCATTCATTGACAGCATATATGTGACGTATTACCTTATTATTCTTGCTTACAGTCATGATTAACAAACTCATAAACAGTGAAAATGAGGTGAATTTCACAAGTTGAGTAATCTTTTTTCCCAGTATGCCATGCTGAAAAATATTAACCTCAGCAGAAAGAATGAATTATTAATTCCAATCACAAAATATAGATGGTAAAAACAGCTTTTTAGTCTCTTAATTATAAGGCGTGGTCGATATAAAAGGATGTGTTGAGTTGTGTGATGAAGTTCATGGAGAACATATACACACGCCTGCTGTGACCTATTGAGTGTTCAGAATGTTTTTGTACGTAATATTCCCCATAATGTTAATATACCTTTCCTGTACACACGGGACTTTTTATCTTGGCCATACTGCACTTAGAGTGCTTGGAACTAACGCTGATGAAATTCGACTAATCGCGATGAGATTGTAAAAAAATTTTGAGAAAGAAATTCAATCAGCATATTCTAAGTCGCTTTCTTTACTAGGTTGAGTCCAATGACGATTGTAAAGTTCCACCCTATAAAGGCCTATCTGCATCTAAGTGGTATAGATAAGGCAATCTGTAGACGCACACTAAACTAAATCTATGATGGTTTATTGAATAAGTAAATGCTCAATTCAATTCGAAGATGATTGAGCATTACAATCCAGGTACCAAGGCTCTAGGTCTGTTAGCAAAGTCCTGAACGCTTAAAGGTGCCTCAATGCAGTATTATTATTTCAATGGAACTTCAAACAAACGAGTACCTTTTGTGCGTGTGCATGCAAGTATGTGCTACCATGCTCTTGGGTCCTCTTAGCATCAAGCTGCAATTAAGCAATCCTATGTTGAAAGAGAGCGATTTTTTCTCAACACTTTAATAGAGCTTCCAAAGCATTTAAAGGACCAATCCTATTGTTTGCTTAGTTTAAGGGTCAATTTGAAAGGCGAATTAGTTAATCGAGGGCTTTTCCGCGGAGGTTTCGTCTACTTTAACCATAAAAATTTTGCTATAACAAGAAACTCCTACCTCATATGGAAACATAAACAGTAAGGATTTTAATAAGGCACATTAGCCAGGAACGTGTGAGATATCAACCGTTCTAGTTATGGGCCACCTATTCACTTCCATAAACTGTGGAGTCTATAACGAAGTAAAGTTTGAAGCAGTCAGTCATAATTATCTGATTGATCGTATGAACGTAACTTGATCCCATTTCCTAGAAAGTTTATTAGTGGGATTTCCAATTATAATTATGTTTATGTAGGTTCAAAAATAAGTTAGATATTAACAAATGTCAGTGGAGGAATTGGTCGATCGCACTGATACGAGATCACGTGATTCATCTCTCTACCAAAATGGGTTCTGATTTGAGTAGTGCACCATATGAGTTACTCATTGATTTACATGTAACTTATTTAACGAGTAAAGTAAAGAACTCACAATTAATGCACCTTCTCTAGTAAGGTAGCCGATTCTGGCAGAATGCGATTTCGGTCTTTACCCCAAGTAACAATGGAAACATCAGACATGTTCATATATTCACAAGCCCGTGTCTAGCTGGGGAAGTCAACTAAATTAGCAGGACTAGGTCAAAATCTCCCACACCTAAATTGTCATAGATGTGCGCGGACGTCGCTATGGCTGCCAAGGCGATACACAAATGTGATTAATAACCTCCAGGTCTGGGAAATGACTGTTAAAAAATTCACCTTTTGGACAATTGGTTTGTCATGTTGATTGACTTGCCACGCCATATTTGTGTCGGCTAAGGTGAATATGGACGCAAACTCTTCTTGAACAAGAACAGACTTCAAAAGAAAGTGGACAGGCGCGAAATGTCGGAGAAGGAACCTTTAAAGTGGTGGCCTTATTTAAATTTTCCATTTGAATTTACCAGACTTAAATCTGGAGGAATACAGTTCAAACAGCTAACTAGAAGTGCTAAGTGTTAATCGAGTCTTTGCTGTTACCCATGGGAAAACAGGTAAAAAAACCTTCTTTCCACCAGAAAAAGTTCTGAGTAGTTGTAAGGGTGCAACGACCCAGTAGGAAGTGAAAGAGAGCAAGTGAGTAGAAGATTGAGAATCGTACAAATTTTGGATTCGACGGACATTTCTTCGTTTATTTGATGCATATACCTAGCTGCATCATGTTCCAAACCACTGCGGTTCAAATATCAAACTCCCCACCCTGGGTACTTCAACGAGTTCACGTCCGCGATGTCCTTAGCTTATTAAATGAGGGACTCCACTGAGTGATTAATCATGCCATTTTTTAATTCTAAACATTTGCACAGTCCACAATAGAAGGTGTTATTTATTTCGAATGGCAGGCTTTATGATAGCTATCACTACCCCTTTAGTTGACTCTAGGCTTCACAAAGGGGGAGGAACATCAAAGTCACAAAAAGTCGAATTGGGGGGGGGGGGAACAGAAGAATGATTCACAGATGTAAGACAGACACAATGGTAGAGAAAAAGTAATGATGAATTCTATAAAAGTTTTCGGGCATGACATAGAAATGGGTCATGGTATTTTGATATCAGAAGTCAATTGCCGGTTTATAGACTTTTTGTCGTATGAGTATACGTTGCCCAGGCTACATCACGTGGAAGTAAGTCAATCGCACACCCCATAATAGTCATTGCTTAAGGAAATGTTTCAAAATAGCAAAACTCATTCAAATGGCAACAGGCTATGCTATTTAAATGCGATTTAATAACGTTTGAATAGAAGTGGAAACTTGCTAGATAAGCACAGTGCTAGAACATTAAACAGTCCGAAGTTGGAGATATGAGCCAATATTGTGCCTGTTTAAATTCAAATTAATTAGCATTACCTGAAACTATATACCACCTTAAATTAAGCATTCTACTCCATTATCATTACAAACTGTCATGAAGGTGAAAGCACAATCATGCGTTAATCAATTCCATTTAAAAACAAACGCTATTAATTGGATAAAAACTAGGGCAGGAAGAGTAAATTATAATCATTGTAAGGGTAGATTTTGAAAAGCAAGCTCCACGAGTAAGGTGAACTCTGATTGGCCACACAACTGGCCAATCAAATGGACGTTGAGATGCGCGTATGAAGGCCTTGTATTCATGTGCTGCCGCCTCCTCGGTCAGAGTGCAGACGACGAATGCACGCACGCGCAATCACCACCACCACCACATCGCACCACAACATACGAAGCGACACACAAACGGCACACTGTCTTTACCTCAACCCTCAAGTGCACACTCTCGGTGTTGATCATGTTCTCCAGGCTTCGTTGACAGGAATAGGACTACTAATAAACATAACTGTGAATATCAAGACTAACTCGGAAACATGCTAGTTCTTTTCTCTCTTCTCTCTCTTTTTCCCCTCTTAACCCCTAGTAGGGGTCAAAACGTTACTTCTTCCCTCGCTCGTTCCAAGCGCCAGTACATGGACGGTCCTGATCCTTTCCATTCCCTTGGTGGAGTTAATGAGAATGGTCAGGCAAGGGCACCACTAGTTTTGGAGGCAACCCATAACCTCACTTTGGTCAATGGACCTATGGGGAGATGTGGAGTTTGTGCTCGGACATATAGAGTGCTCAAAGATCTTCAATATAAGCCCAGTGAGGAATGTCAACGTTATGGCAATAGTCGACAAGCAGCACTTGGAGATCTTACAGAATTCTACCACACGGTGAGCAATCTTGACTCTTTTCGTGCCTACCCATGCATTTTTCCCTACTGGCGGGCAGACTATGCTAGAAAGTAAAATCGTTAACGGCTTAGGACGAGCGTAGGTAATGAGTTAAGAGATTAATTTATTGCTGTCATGCCCAAAAATTAACTATTTTTTTCACTTTAAGCTCTGGATTATGGTTGCTAGGACAACTAATGGAATGTAAATAATAGGAAGTTTAGTAAGCCTTTTTTCCACTTTTACAGGCTTTTCGAGAGTTAAAATTGGCAGACGTCAACAGATGAGTTAAATACATGTGTGGCCTTTGCATCACTGGTTCTACTAAAAATATGTTTGCAATGTATTACTTTATTTTATTACCAGAACTAGACCAATTGGAATGGATTTAACTGGTTTATTGTACCAGTTTTGTGTGGATTTCATAAAATATGTAGTTTTGCTTTAGTTAATTTCTCTTGTGTAGAAAGCTTTCAAGCATTCATATAGGGGTAGTGTGAAGAGATTTATTCGATTAATGTGGGCCTGCTTTATGCGAAGATATCATCCCAGCATAAGGGATTTGACGCAAAGCTATAAAAAATAGCCATCTCATCATCAAGCTTCTAAGCTTTTGGCGTAACAATTATGCGAGAGGAAACTGTCAACTCTCAACTGCGGGCAGAAAAATGGCTGTCAATTTTTGGGCTGTTTTGTGAATTATCTTTCATCAGAGTTAGATTTCTTGCCAATGGGTTATTCAAATTACTGCCTCGATGTAATTGTGGGCAAGAGAGCATGAAAATTGCGGTTACAAATTTGAGGATTTTTGGGTGACAGTTAGCCACCCACTTAGTGAGTTTGACCCTGTCTTCCCTCTCCCCCCCCCCTCATCCGCTCTATTCGTTTGTCCCACCTTTTAAACTACCCGTCCTCCCCTAACAATGAGTCATGTGCAGGTCTCGTAAACAGCAGGCAGTCTGGAAAACCTGAAATCTTCAATGTTTACATTTTTATTAGAGGTCCTTCGTGCGTTTTTAGGTTAACCAACCAATGTTCGCGATAATTTGAAAGCTTTAGGGTCCCGACTTTGAAGTTAAGGTAGCCCAAATGCACGAATTGTCATATTTTCGCTATACCCACAAGGTATTGGCATGAGTTTAGCTTCAGTAATTAGGGCTTTCGTAATTTGGTTGACTAAAATTAGTCATGATAACCCTCCTTCTCTTTTCCTCACTTGACCTCAAATTCGAGTTGTAACTGCGCGTCAGGAAAAGACATTAAGGCCGCTGACGACGCAGACCTTGCAGCAAATTTTTCCGCAACAGCATGACTAGTTTCGAAAGTCATAAAAGCTGCTCGTGCTAACCTCAGTGTCTTTTTTTTCGCAGATAACTGATGTGCTAAACTTGGAAGAGGTAGTTGCTTGCACCACGTCACACATTCTGTAATGCCATTTGTAATCCGCCTTTAACGAATGGAGTGAATGCACATTTTATTATTTTGGGATCCAATCATTTACTCACTAATGTTCACCAGCTTATAATCATAAACTTTTTATGGTCGACATGGGCTATACAAATGGGTTCCTTTTTTTCTGGCGCCGTCCCTGCTATTATTTTCCAACTGGTCAATTACACAGACAGCCATTGCTCGCCAATATACTGCCCTTAATTGGATCTAGCCCATTTCAAGCAATGATTCATCAAAATGTACTTATCAGTCGAAGTAATGGGGATGTTATGCAATGCTTCAGTATTGCCGCTTTATGGAGTCGATAATTAGTTGGATGTTTATTCTTTTGGTGATGGCTATAAAAAATAGCATGTTTATTTCGTTAGTATATATTTGCTTGATGTTAATTTTTTCTCAGTTTCGCGAGTACCGGTGAGCAATTGGGTCAAGTCTTCACTTTAGTTGATGTGTTTATTGCCAATTTAGTTACATTTGACCACATTTTATCGCATGAGTCATCAAACGCGAATTTCAAGGGAGAAACGAATGGGGCAATCATTTGATTGCCACCCATGAAGTTGGGTTTTGGCAGATTTGATAGGGAACAAATTTACTACTATAATTGCACTGCAGTTTGAGCTGGGATGAATGAAGTCAAATGACGATTCAAGGAAGTGTCTACCTGTATCGATTTTCTGTGTTACTTTCCAATCATGTTAAATCACTCTTGAAATTTTAGAACAGGTGTTCTTGTAAGCCCACTTACAGACTTGTTCTGAACCTGACCTAAATTTGATAATTTTTAAGTTCTTTTTTGCATGGAATACTCTTCTGAATTTTCTTGACTAATCACATGATCAAAGAAAAATGCCCATTATTTACTACGTATGTATGGATTTGTCAATAATAATTTGCAGGAAGAGCTACCGGTCTATCAAAAAAATACCTCTTGAAATAAACACATTTGGATCGACTCATCGAGTCATGAATGTAAATCTTGTGTCGAGGTCATTGGGGCCATTTGAAGCATCTCAGTTGAATTATTTCATCTCACCCAAGATGACTTTTATTACGCTGAACCTTTTGAGTTCACGTGAAGTTGAGGTAATAAACTATCGGGGAATTGATTAGACTGGTTCAATTACTCAGAGTAAAGTGTGTTTGAAGTGTCTTGGATAAAAATAATTATTATTTCAAATGACAGGCGTTTTGAATAGTTATCAATAGCCATTTAGCTGATTTCGGGATTCGCAGAGGGAGGAACAGCAGTGAGGAAAATTCGAGAGGGTGAACAGAAGAGTGGTTCACAGATGTAGAAGAGAGATAGAGAGACGCAAAGGTAGAGAAAGGGTGAGATGAGTACTGTGAAAGTTGTGGAATATGACATACAGTGGGGTCATGGTAATTTGATGTGAGAAGTCAACTGCCGGTTTATAGACTTTTTGCCGTATGAGCGTACTTTGCCCGGTGTGCACCACGTGGAGGCAAGTCTATCGCACGCCCCGTCTCTTGGATAACCATTTGTACAAAATATCCACTTTGGCGGAATGCTTGTTAACCAGCAGTCCCTGGCAGTATAGGCTGCGATATTACTCGAAACCGATCTTTTAGTAACCAAGCTTTCACTTCGATTAAAGTCATTAATTTTTATTTAATATTATTGAGCATTTTAAGTCTTGTATTAATTGTTTCTTTTTGTTGCTTTCAGCTGTTCAATAGCCCAAAACAGAAGGAGATTACAACCTTCATGTTGAGTGATTCCTTTCCTGATTTCACATTCTCTGCAAGTTTTCTATCCTCCAATCCAGGGGCACCTCCATTCCTGATGATTGAAGCAGCCAAGTCTGCTGAACAGGCTTTATGTGTCCAGTCCCATCGGTGTCCTGAACCGACAACCACAACTACCACTACTACTACCACAACCACTACAACAGCCACTCCCCTTCCCCCTTTTCAACATCTACCGTCCACGAATCCTTCCATTAGTCAACCAGGTACAACTAAGCATCCAACCTTTTGGGATGCTGTTATAGCTAACAGCTCGCCGCGAATATGGGTCATCTCCACTGTCGTCTTGGCGTGTGTTTCTATCATTCTTCTCATCACTCTCATTTGTACTTGCTTCTGGATGTGTCGGACAAAACGCAGCTATTATCGTAAGAGATGCCGAGGCACCTGTCGTTTCGGATGCAAATGCACTCCTGATACTATTCGGCAGGCTGCAGCTGATGCTGCCGTATGCGGTCCTATTGGTGGCGGTCAGACTAATGGCTCAGTGCTAACGTACCCAAGTATGGCACGGTCCTGGGGTTTGACTAATAGCTCAAAAGCTCCATTGAATCAACTCTATGTCTCACTAGGAACGAATGAAAAGCTGATGGGAACTCAGAGTTCAGGAACACCCCCCTCACAGCAGATGTTCCCTCCAGGCCAACCTTTACTCGGAGACAACTGGCCACACCAGATGACTTTCCAAAAGAGTCTTGCCACAAAAGAAGCTATGTGGAGAAGTCATAGTGATGGATCGTCCCTGTCTGAGCATACCGTACCATCTGCAGTGGGAAGTGGGCCTTGTGCATTGCGAAATCAGCCCTCTAGATCGTCGGGACAGCAGCCTGGTGCATATCCGTTTAATGCGAATCCATCGAGTGCTACAGCTAGCACTTGCATGCAAAGCTATGTCGGAGGAGTTTCTGCCCAAGGGGATAGTGTACCTACTGATGGACATCCGGGGAGTCCTTTGCGCTTTGATGATGGCCAAAGCAGTGGACAAAATGGGTTCGACCATAATGGTATCACTACTCAACCTATGGAGCTTCGTGGTGAGCAGCTTTCAACTGTCTTTTCAAATGCCTTCAAATTTACTTAGTTTAGGTTCTTCTAGTGCTTGTCAGTGAAAATTCAAATTTCTACTTTATTTTGTTGATTAAAGAAACATTTCAGTTTTTATAACTAAAATAACAACCATATAAATTATTTTTTACATAATGGTCTCTTTTCACATGGAATAATAGAAGAAAATGGCATTTATTTAGTCTGCCTTCTTTTATAGTGGAAAATTCGAAGTGTATTAAGTAAGTCAGCTCTCTGAATAGTTCATAAACTCGAATTGTACATCTCGTCCAATACTTTTTTAGTTCTGCTAGAATTATAGGTGATTTGTTAACCCATCACAAGCACATGTTCATGCCATTTAATGTAGCTCTAGGAATTACCACAGACAATTAACTCTTCTATCTAGAACTTCCATTATTTCTCTCATGATAGGCATAAATGGTGGATTGTATGATCAGAACACAGGAGTCTTGGGAGATTCATTTGCCCAACATAGTGAATTGACTAGTATAACTCCCCCGGCAGGCTTCTATGACCTCAATGGCAAACCGACTAACAATTCTAAACTGGATCAACCCTGGACCTATACTGCCCACCTACAGCAGTCTTCCTTTGCTCCTTCTTCCAATTCCAATAATCTAAGCGGTGCTGTGAAGGTCTTACCAAATGGAAACTCTCCGGCGGATTACAAACGTCGGAATGGCTATCTGAATGGTGACGTAGACGACAACTCAATGCGAAGACCAACCGGTGGATTAACTTCTCATATTCTTTCCCATCCACTAACGGAAGGTGTGGAACAGAACTACAGTTACGAAGGGAATAGTGACACTCCATTAAGGGCTTGGACAGACGCCTTGGCCCATTAAACGGGTGTTTCATAGCACGTTCTCTTTCATCTGTTTAAATTCTTGATCTTGCCAGCCTCGGTCCGCGGAATCCTTTCTGTAAATTGTCCTCCTAAATTGTTCGAGCCCTTAATTAACACGAGTTAATGTATAATGGTGTTTATTTCAGTTGTATTTTTTTCCCTTCGAAGTAACCATAGTTGCTTGGACCACTTGAATGCCACATCTCGGTTTCTTCCTCTACGTTTCTCTAACATGCTTCCAGAATGGGGCGCAAAGATAACTTCTGTTTCACGAATTTGAACAGTTTGTTGTAAAAAATACACGTCTCCAACCCCCCCCCCTCCCCTCCTACTCCCTATATTTGAACTCATATAAAAACACCTGTTGCATTCGTTGCTAACCTTCACCACCCCCTTCCACTTACATCTTTGAATTATTACTATTAAAATTATTAATAATAAGAAAATTTGATTTTATCACTTGCCATTTCACATCTTTCTCTGCGCTCGAGAAGATCCGTCTTGTGAGTGCAATTGAGATGCTAATTAGTGGACTTTCCAGGTATGAGAAAATTAGCATACATATGTTCTTTCAACTTGTGACCTTTATTTTCATCTCATTAAAACAATGTCTAACTACATATTCACGCTAATTTAAATCTTGAGTATTGAAAATGTACGAAATATTTTTTTGTAATATTAAATTAGGATAGCATTAAGATCACTATTAAAACAAAATTTGCGTTTGTTTCTATAAGTAGTACAGAAAACGCCAAAAATGATACCTATAAAAGTGGAATTATGCCTGCCATTTACTGATCTTCACAAAATGTTGGGAAAAGGCGAGTGCTGAAATTGAGGATCACTTGCTGAAGGGGTGAAATGGTACTCATCAAATGTTTTCAGTAGCTTTGTTTAACAAAAGCAGAGATTTCTTTTTAAAAATTATCATACATGTGATTGTTTAAATTTGTCCGAGTTATTGGAAAGCTAGAAAGAAAAATCGAGTCAGCTGATTCTAATGCATTAGTTGAGAGGGGAAGTTTATTTACATAAGTAATGAATTAATACGAACTAAAAGGCTTTCCTTTCCTTTAGGGCTATTTAAGTGCATTAAGTTAGGAATATCAGCCACTCAAATAAACGGAACACCTTAGGCAAAAGATCTGAGTATCTTGATTACTTGATGTCTTTTGAAATCTCTCAGCGCATAACGGTAATTGAGGTGCTTGTTTCTGTATTGAACCCTTCTCAAGTTCTAGTTATTGGGATATGCTAATGAAGCGATCCTTTTTAATGGAACCACATAAAACACACTTCCCATTTATCAACTAGCATAGTTCTCTACACTTTGTTACACATTTACTCTTTGTTCTAATCCAGCTCAGTTCTCTTCCTCTATTCCCTCATTCCAACTGCTGACACTTCCAGAAGTTCAACTCATAGTGCTCTGCTTGATTTGGAACTGGGGGTATGTCAATAGTTAGATGTTAATTATCAGTTTCAACGTGCAATTTTGTGACCTCTATTCCTGTTACTACAACAAACTAGTGAGTAATTCACGTATATAAGGCACTTATTAATTTCCAAACAGATAGGCTCAAATCTGTGCAATAATGACTACAAAATTCCAGTATACGGTACGAAAGCTCTTTTAAACCCTATTATTCCTCTTAGAGTAGTACAAGTACAAGTGGTATAACTAGTCTCTACTAAAGTCCTATTTTCTATATTGTCCTTGTAAATAAAGAAATTTCACCTCACATTGCATAATCATTGATTATTGGTCAATGATGGACCCTCTATACACCCACCATAACCAGTATTTGTGCACTTTCCAAATTGTTCTAGCTCGCGAGATTCCTTTGGTAAGTTGTGTTAGAGTTTGCAGTGAAGTTTAATACTAAGTTAAAGTAATCATTATCAGTGCGGATTCTGTATAGAGGTTTTCCTGGTTTTCGGCCAGAAACTTGAAATAATTAAATTAGTCACCATGTCCTTATCTGGAGTCTTCTTTGATGTTTCTCTCGTATACTCGATTCTGAAATGCGCGGTGTCCTCGAAAGCGTAAAATATTACGTGAGAATTACTTGTTTCGCAGCTTGAAATTTTATTTTGAGAACCCACATTAGTAATGCTGCAAATCAGAAGTAAGTTTAAAATTAGCTTAAAAACATTTGCAATGGAAATTATTGTCCCAATGCTCGAATTCGTAGCAATTGGTATAATCGGGAAAAAATATTTGACTGATGAGTATTCATACGCGCTTGCAAATAGGGTGGAATTGATAACAATCGTTTCATTCATAAATAGATTAGCTGATATTATGTCAATAGATTCCTAATATCACTAAGATACACATATTGGATTAAAAGTGGTTGGCATAATTCAATTCCTACCGGCTAATGTGACGAATTAATATTGACACATAATGCATCAATCACCAATATCGATAAGCACAGAACATTGAGGTATGGAAAGTTTGAAAAAATTGGCATTCCAATGCACCCAGAACTCAAAAGAGGAAGAGAGTTTATTATCCCGGATTTGTCGTGTGCGTTTCTCAACTTAATGCCTTATTTTACAGTTTCCAAATACTCTCCTCGATTTGTAAAAACCTTCGATTTAATCCATTTACGCCTTCAAAAACTATACTTAGAGTCGGAAATATGGTATATTAATGCAACTTTTCGCCGAAATTTCATAGAGTTTTAGTTTCAACTTGGGAAATTTTGTCCTCTTACACAATGACATGGCTAATCCACTTAAAACGTTACACTCACATGCAGTATTTCTCTTCTTCGTAAACTAGGTGAAAGCAGTTTTTCTTCGTGGATAAGTGCAAGTTAACTTGGGTAAAATCTAACTACCTAACTGGTTTACGAAAAGCTATTAGTCTAGACACGGTTTGGGCTAAAAATCCCACAGACTTGGTCCTTGTCTAGAACATGAGATGATATCATGATTAATAGCACATTATATGCAGGATTTGGCATTAAATTAAACCCAAATAGATGAAAAATTTTGATCTCCTGCTAATCCTCGATCAGCGGGGATCTTAGGGGGGATAACCAGCACTATGAAAAGGTCCAATTATGAAGTACGTTCGAATAATAGTTAAAGTGATAATTATATGGATTTTAAAAAATTTAACTAATGCTCAGACCGAATGATCTGAAACTTCGAATGCAACACAACGCCGAAATCCGCTTCCACTATTTAGTTCAACTATGACAATGGAGGATATTATTTTAGTATCGGCTTTAAGTGAGTGAATAGATAATTTCCATTTAAAATTCCGCAATTACAACGAGATTGTTAATTGGGAAGAGTTTTTAATTCATATTTTGTTTGCAGACTTCACATCCTGTTATCGGTTTATTGCCCATTATATATTAGCATAAGTTGCAGTAAGTTACAAAACATAAACCATAATCGTTCTTAAAAATATGGAATATGAGAAAACTACCCCAGACATGTATTTTTAAACAAGATAAGATTTCTTAAATGCGGAATCTGCAACCTTGAATTATGTTTGGTAGTTCATTGAGTTTAATCGCCATATTTTGCTTTAAACTTGCATTTCGAGCTGTGTACTTTGATATCAACATGACATCGCCCTGAACTATTGAACGCCTTTATCTCAGTAAATGATTCAGAGATCTCGGGACGGTGGTTGCTGACTTTGTGAGGACGAAGGTGTCTATCGCGTAAACTCATTATATAGTAGCATTTTGGGCGAAAATCGACCTTGAGGCAGTATAAAGTGAACCCGCTTCAGGGGAAAGAGACTAGAGAATGTAAATTCGCAACCTCACAATAGTCTATAAAAGCTACGAAAATAAATAAAAATGCATTTTTGTTTTCAACTAAAGTCCAATGAAAGTGCATAATGGTAAAATATATTAAATTTTTTGAAATTTTTTCCCCCATTTAACCCACTTGGTCGATAAAAGAGGTTTGCTAACAATCATGCGAGCATTGCGTTAAGGACAGCTTTCAAAATACTGACGAAAGAAGTGAGAAGGAAATTATAGAGCAGTCATTATTTGAAGCAGCTGAGTTATCAGGAACTAGAGTGTTGGTGAATTTTTGTTTACATTTTAGAGTTTCTGGGCACTCAAAAAAGTGAGTTTGGCTGAATTGTTAAGCTTCAACATTACTGAAGGATAGTCAAGCTGTGACATTTTTGTGAAGCTTTGCCCATCGACTGTACGTTCACTGTTAAACAAGTTGATAAATGCCTCCATTTTGTCGGAGAGTCTAATAATGCGTGGTTCTTGAAATTATGCAAAGCTTAAGTATGAGGTGAGGTTGACATTTCCCCCCTCCCCCAGAGCTGTTAAGTAATTGTCTCATATGAGCTTGAAAAATTGCTGTCACTTCTCAGATGAGAAGGTGCATTTTAGAAATTCATTAAACATTTATAATTCTTCAGTGAAACAGGAAACTAATTCCAACTTTCCAATTTAAACACCACTTGATGAACTCGTGATAAAAGTGAAGGTATTCATTTAAACATTAATCAAAGTTAAAAGTACACAGTTAATGGACGACTAAGAACTGTGAATCTTTCAATATAATACTGTAAATGAATTAGGATTCAATGAAAAAAAATACTAATTCACATGGCTTACAAATGGTTACATTTTCATTCAATCTATTCCGATTTTAACTCTCAATGAAAGCACACTTCATTGGACAGTAATTAGAACAAAAAAATGAATTTTACACTTGTAGAATTGAAAAAAAGAGTGTGGCAAAGCTAGAATTACTCCAAATATACCCCTTTAAATAAAGTGGACCGGCTTCAATGGAATTATTTTTATTATTTATTTTTTTGATGAAATGATTCATCTGTCAAGCGTGTGGATAAAGTAGTAGTGCTTTTCAAGTCCACATGCGCGAATCCAATTTCCTCTTGCACTCGTTGTTGAGTTTGCATAGAAGTAGTTCATGAAAACATGGATTTGTTTTGAGCATTTTCTTACTGTGATAAGAGGCAAGATCGTTAGCTTC